GTGCGTATGTGAGGGGCACTACACCAAATGGAAGAAGAAAAACTTATATAAATAAAAAACAAGACTAATAAAAATTCATTTTTACTTGCTCCGAATAGGTTAGTAAGTAAAAGCATATCATGGTTTGATAACTTCCTTGCTTTTCTGGTCTGATGAAATGCTACAAAGGTCCACCTGGTACAATTCCTGTCACATAAACTCTCAAAACAGTCTGATATTGAGGACCATATTCTGTATTGATGGGTGTTCAAGCTCTAGGTTGGGCCAAATTTCCTAGGTCTTTACCAGTACACAGAACCGAAGGGAAATATATGGCAACAGGTATGCATGGTGGTGGTGTATGTATGTTTACATGTGTCCTGGTAAACCACCATTAAGGTGCATGTTTTATGTTAGAGTAAAACATAAGTTTATGGACTTCAAAATAAGGCTTGCCTTGGGGCCCCATCAACTTTTAAATTAGTTTAGCTTAAAGTATACTTTCATCTTTTCATCAAAAATCTTTGTTTTTCCCAATGTCAGCACATAAGCATTAATTTTTGAAATTCTAAATTCAGACAGTCTCAAATAACTAATTCAAGGACTGCACAAATGTAAGGATAATCTGTTTTCCAAAATGGTAATTTAGTCTGGCTGTCGCTTAGCATGTATTTACTAGAGATATTCAGTATAAATAAAACATGTTTTGGAACACGTTGAAATAACTCTCCTACTGTATAGCGATGGCCCACAACTCAATACACAGGTTCCTTGATTGTCATATGATTCTTTTTTTTTTTTTTTTTTTGAGACGGAGTTCGCGCTGTACCCAGGGCTGGGCAGTCGCAGTGGCTTGGATCCTCCAGCTCACTGCAAGCTCGCCTCCCGGGTCCACGCCATTCTTCCTGCTCGCCCCCGGAGAGCAGGGTACTACAGGCGCTTGCCACCTCGCCCGGCTAGTTTTTTGTGGTTATTTAATAGACGACGGGGTGGGTTTCACCGTGTTAGCCCAGGGGGATGGTCTCGACGCTGTATTTTTTAGTAGAGACGGGGTTTCACCGTGTTAGCCAGGATGGTCTCGATCTCCTGACCTCGTGATCCACCCGTCTCGGCCTCCCAAAGTGCAGGGATTACAGGCCTGAGCCACCGCGCCTGGCCAAGAAATTCCAAGTCATATATTTGCCTTTAAAAATAAGTTTGCCTCCCAAGTAGCCTTGTAGATCACTGCTATTGGTGACTAGACTTTATGCAGGAGACGAGAAAACAAGTTTATGTCTTTCTCTGTCCCTGAACATTGGGGAGTGAGTTGGTAAAACAGCGTGTACCCTAAAGAGTACACCATTTTTATTCTACCGTCAAATGAGTGTGCTCTTTAAAATATCCCATTTATTCACCAACATGGTGCTGGATATGTCAAAATGCAAAACGAAGAAAGATAGCACAGGAGCAATATATTTTTAGTGCCTTTTAACTGAAATAATAATGAGAATTGTATCCCCACAACATGCTCCGGCAGGTTTGCAAGATGTAGGTGCTCTGCCTAGATCCTCTGTGGACACTGCATACCTGCAGGCGAGACATACGTTCTGATCATGCCTGCTAAGTCCAAAATCGCAAAAGTTTGCCAGGTACCAGCAACTGGGAGGACACCCTGGGTAGAACCTGGGTGACATCCTTAGCAGAATTTTCTGGGTCCCAGCAACTGGGTTAGCAGAATTTTCTGGGTTTCTCTATTTGCTTTCCATTCCTCCTCTCTGAATGAGAGATCCTACCGGGGTGAATGTTTAAGGCTGATGTTTTCCACCCCGCGTGCTCTCGCAGCTTAGAAATGGACATCATGGCTTGAAAGACCAGGGAAAATAAACATAGGGCCGAATTGAGTGACTCCTGGCGCGAGTCAACATGGATGCCCCATCGTCTCATTCTGAGCACAAAGGGTGCTTAAAACTTTAATGAATTGAACTCTATGAGTAAGGGATGTTAATCATTTTAATTACCCAGCAGCTTGAAATCAGATATAACAGTCCAATAATGTATCTTTAAACGAATACCACCCTGCCCTATAAAAAATCCCTTCCAAACCATTCTAATAATTTCTATTTATCTTTTCTGACGTTAACTGTTATCCGGCCCAGCCGGCCAACAGACAGCCTTCCCCTCGCATTTGGTTTAAATGCAATGCCGTCTAGTTTTGCAATATCATTAGCGTCCCCCTGGTGGGCAGAGAGCAAGGCGGTGGCACCGGTCACACTTCACTGCTTTATCTCATATGACAAAGAGCGATGATACGCTTCAATCCAGGCCAGCCCGGCAGAGGGGAAGGTGGCCGCACGGAACTCCCCCTGCTGCCGAGAAACGCCCTCCGTGTGACTTGCTAACAGCATGAAGAGGCAGACAAATAGATTTTCCTCTATATTTATAACCAGCATCATTCTTCCTTTCAGGGCGTTCAGTGCAGGTAGCTGTTTTATATGAAATGAACAATCTTTATAGACGTACCAGAGCCATAACAAGCCTGATTTTCAGCGAAGCTGAGGTATATAACTCTTACCGAATTGTCAGGCTACTTGCTCAACAAATCAAGCCTAACTTATGATGTTTGCAGTGTAATTTTTATTCCTGTTTGACTAGCCAACTACCCAGTGGTAATAGGATGTTAGGAAGGGCAGTGGCGATGTTTGTGCATGCCGTGATTGATAGGCCGACTCGGCATTTTTCATTTATATCTCCAGATTCCAAATCAGTTAAGTTTAGGAAAAATGAAACAAAGTGGCAAGAAAAATGTTTGCAGATTGCAGACCGGCGCTCCCGCCGATCTGAGTTCAGCCCACATCTGCCGGGATTGTCTGGAAACATTAAGATATCTAAATGAAAATCAATACTATATGTGCCAGGCATTTACTACCAGGAACAAGCATCAAGAGACCTGAGCTAATCAGACTTCCAGCTTGTGCCTCAGCCCTAGACTGAACCCCAGGGGTGTCCTAATTGCCCAGACTAATCATAGAAGAGTTAAATTTATAACTAAGAAAGACATCTTGTTTTTCTTACCAGACATCATTGAGGAGCGGAAAGGCTCACCTGTGAAGTGGGTGCCAGATGTACAGTGGGAGCCCCCATTCAAGAGAGGATGGCTTCTCACCTGTCAGGGGAAAGGAAAGACAAATGTACTGTCAGCAGTAAAACCAGTCAGGCTCACTGAAGCCCCGGGTGGGAGAGTGTTCCATCAGTTCCAACACGCACTGCAGTTCCCCTCATTGAAACTCTCCCCACTTAACCCCCGCTTTCTGGAACATGAAAACCCCCTGCACACTTTGATCCACGACCTGGTTTTTATTTTAAGGAAACTGCTCAGAAAAGCAACTGGCATCAGTGACGTTAAAAATATATGTATCTGTTTCTCCCTGAGTTCCACTCCGGGCTTTTTTGTCCCTTGGAGTCTCCAGAGGAGCTAATAATACTTGGCGACATGTATCTCCCTAATATACTGTACAAACAAGTCACAGATATTATTCACATTCCAACAAACTACAAAGTCACACAATAGCAATTGGACGAGCCCACACTATACTGCTGAAAAACCATAATGTATCAGGGGACTGGATTCCTAATATTTGCATTCTAGATGCCAACTGTGAGCATATTTTGTACTATTTTCAACAAATTACACCAAAATATGCAAAATGTTTATAAGGCTCCATCTTCTATTTTTGGCTCCGATATATTTGCAACTTAATAGTCCTTTAGAGATTTGTTTGTCTCCTCGGGAGAAATAGGAAAGTGGGAAATGGAAAAAGCAGAAACAGAGAGGGAGAAGAGAAAAGAAACGAAGACACTTTGTTCAGGCAAGTTGAGTTCTGTGAGTTTTTCGTAAAGAGCGGAGCCGCTCTCCCCGGAGACCCTCTTCGACAAGAAATTTAATAACATTATTTAGATTCTTTGTGTCCTGAATTTCAGATGTATTTTTAATGCATGTGTCTTGAAACAAAACAACCATTGTCAAATGCTGTATCCTCTTCTCACCAGTTTAAATGGTTTCCTAGACAGCACGATTCTGGGAGCATCTTGATGGTGGTGATCAATGAAAACCTGCGCCTTGCTCTCTGTGGCTTCCCAAGGATGCTCACCCCTTACCACAGAAGGTTTGTCAGCTCTCTTCCCAGGAAGGGTGTCTCTGGTCCTTGTGATGTGAATGATGACAGCCTCTTGCCTTCTGTTCCATCATCATTGCCTCTGCGCTCTCGCAACTGGGGGCAGGCACACATCTGTCTTTCTTGCCTTCAACCCTGTGACACAACCATCTCTGACTGCACCGTGCCTGTGTAGGGGGATTAGGGCTGATCTGTTGAGCAGAATCCAGGATAGGGGAGACTAAAATGCACATGGGTTGAGGAGGGCAGCAGTTTTCCTGATGCCGGATTACACAGCCAAGTTGAAAACTTTTCAATCCAGCTTCTACCACTGGAAAAGGTGTCAGACAAAAAACTAATTTTTTTTCTAATATTATGCCTAATGAACTTAACCTAGAGATTGGGCCTCATGCCCTTGGTTCCTAGAACAATTTTTCCTAACAAGACTGAAGCTTCAGCCGAATTCATTACTTACTCAGAATGAATAAAGCCAGAGGAAAAGATATTTCATGAACAAATCTGTGTTCTTAGCTGGGCTTCAATGTAAAAAAAAAAAAAAAAGCAAGTGGAAGAGAGTGCCTGGCTTCCCACGTCTTTGTACACACAGTAGGCCCTCAAAATGCATGCGTAGGTTGGATAAGCCAACAATACATGGTGGATGAACTGGGAAGCCACTTGAGTTGGATGTACACTGAAGAATAGGTAAAGAGGCCAGGCATGGTGGCTTATGCCTGTAATCCCAGTGCGTTGGGAGGCCTAGCAGGGGACGCGGCTGGGGGACAGGGGCGGGGGATAGCTTGAACCTAGGAGTTAAAGACCAGCCTGGGCAACATGGCAAAACCCTCTCTCTACAAAAAATTTAAAAATTAGCCAGGCACAGTGGCACATGCCTGTAGTCCCAACTACTGAGGAAGCTGAGGCAGAAGGATCACTTGAGCCAAGGAGGTGGAGGCTGCAGTGAGCTATGACCATGCCACTGCACTCCAGCTTGGGCAACAGATAGAGAAAGTGACTCAAAGAAAAAAAAAGAGGTGTAGAAGCATCATTCAAATGGAGAGACTGAGGCAGAAGTGAGCCTCAGGGCACATCAGGCCACAGGCTTTTCCTCTAGGAACGCTCCACTGCTCTGCACACCAAGCTGTGAATCTGAGGCAGCCAGACCCTGATTTGCCCCCAGGACAAAGGCCAACAGCTCATGGCTGCTGGGCAGGATGACTCCAAACTCATTCCTCAGCCAAACGGGGCCTCTCAGGAGAGCAGGCTTGACACAGCCAGGTGTGGCTCTCAACTCAGAGGAGCTGAAGCCTTCACTTAGCCCTACGTCCTGCATCCCGGCTCCACAGTCCTCAGGGGACCTGCACCTGTGGCTGGGCTCACATGCACTGGGGTTGTTGTGAAATAGCCTGAGTGGTGAGAAAACTGCTGGGGTCCTGGCTGGAAACACTGTCTGGGGTTGCAGCTTTTCCAGCTGTTTGGATGGCCAGGCTGGGAAGCCTGCTAGAGACCAGGGAGCAAGGCAGGGCCACCCAGACAAAGCAGTCAGTGGAGATCTCCCCCAGGGAGCCCAGGCAATTCACAGCAGAAACAGAGCATCTGCTTCCTGAAGGCTTTCCATGTGATAAGCACTATTCCTGGAGTTGTATTTTAACTTGGTCAGTCTTCACAATGGCCCTGGGAGGGGGACCCATTATTAGCCCACAGGGGAGATGAGTAACTTAGCTGCAGTGACAAATTGCTAAGGGACAAAATCAGGGTCTTGCCCCTGCAGTCAGGTGTGGAGTACATGCATTTTGCAGAAGGAGGTCTCGGCGTGGGGTGGGGGTGGTGGGCCTCAGAACAAAAGCCCTGCATAAGGGGGTAAGATGGCAGGGAGTGGACCCAAGGTAGAAATCAGATCATATTTATACGATTCATAAGATAAATAATAATACTACCACAAAGCCACACCCAACAAAAAGCTTTAATATGGAGGCCAAGCCAGAGCTGAGCTTCCTTAAGTGAGATCCATAGAAGAAGGAAGCTCAAAGAGAAATGCAATTGAAATGATTGTAAGATAAACACTTGGGGGCATTCAGCAGTGTGACTCACTTGGGCTCTATCCCCCATTCTGACACTGACCGAAAGGAACAGCAGTCAATTACCAACGGCTTTGGCTTCGCCTCTGGCATTCCAAAACCCTGTGGTCTGACTGTCATCTCACAATCAGAGGACCAGAAAGACAGCCGCTTGCCACTCCCAGAGCCTGCGTGTCCAGCGCCCTGGCCTCCTCTGGGACCACCTGTGCCCCTACGTCACCATCACAGCCCGGCAGAGTGAAACTTCATCGGCAACATTTCCCACAAGACAGAGGCCACATTTGTAAAGTGACTCTTCTTCTGTCTTTTGGCTTTAGAAGAGAAAGGGGCGAGAGAGCAGGGGAAGGACGTGGGGATGTTCACCCTGCGGATTGAGTCAGGAGGAGGACATGGCTTGTTTAATCCTAATAAATCAGAGCAACCCCAGGAGGTGGAAGCAACAGGGGCTGGAGTGCCAGCCGTGCTGCACATTGACCCAAGGCAGAGCTCGTGGAGAAATGATGTCCTCTTAAGCAGACTCCTGGAGAGATGGTCTGCATTTCTCCTGACAAATTAGAAGTGCCATGAATGCAACCATTCCTCCGAAAATAGGCCTGATTTAGCAATGCACAAGCTGCATTATCTCGCTACATAAAAAGACCATTTAAGCAGGAAAGCCTTTAGGACACTGGCCCTTTGGAGCAGCAGTTCTGAAATATTACCCACCTCGACGGCCACCTACGCTAGTCACTCCCCAAGGGAAAAGCCTCATTTACAACCTAGAGGACCAAGTGGGCTTTAGTCAGAGGAAAGGGTCATTTTGTCTCTGGTGTCTGCGTGAGATTTCTTGTGCCCCTGTCCTGCTCGAGCCCTCACCTCACCTCCGACGGCCAAGCCAAATGGAGAGCTACTGTATGGGGAACACCGGTTTCATCCTATCCAAGGTGTCTTGCCCTATTCAGGGCAGCCAGAGCCCTAGCCATCCCCATTGAATACCAGAGCAATTACAAAGCAGATCTGGTGACGACAATGCTAAAAAGATGAAATAATTCATTTGCACAAAATGTGCGTGTTTGAAAACTTTGCATGCAAAGATTACAACCTGTCATTATCTTCCCCAGAGACGCACTACCTTCTTAAAAAGTATCTCTAATGAGATCTACAAATCTGTGGAAGACAGCTTACTTTATTGTGTTTGTAAAGATCAAAATGTTTTAAATAGGTTACGGCTCCTGGGACTGACAGTCCCACCATGAGGGTAAGGTCATTTTGAAATGTTAATAAAAGTTTTCATAAAATATGACGGCGCTCAAAGAGTAATGTTTGGATGTAAAAATAACTGTAAAAGTATAATTTCTACCAGGGTACACGTGCCGTTTTCCTGTGTCAAGATATTTGCCCAATTTCTCGTTTGACTGGGGTTGCAACTTTTCCAGCTGTTTTGACGGCCACACTGGGATTCGACCCTTATTAGAGAGGTTTGCAGCAGGCTTTCTGAGGCTTAGCTGGTTATATTACAGACTTTCCCTTGAAGCGAAGTCTTGCACTGCCCTGACCATTATGCAAATACGCAAGCATTCAACCTAGGATTGTCTCAGCTTGTAGTAGGCATCTGTCCTCCCATCAAAGGAGCAAGACAAGCAACACTGGTGAAGTCAGCAGGGAGGGGGACCCTGGGGGCGTAGCCTCATAGCTCCCAGTTCCTGGGCTAGTCAGGGGGAACATGCCAAATTGGAAACATTCAGCTGTTTCCTATTCAATGAGCTCCTTCGTGTTTGAAGTTAACCAGCCCAAAGGAAACATCTCAGAAGGATTTTCTAGGTGATGAGATAACTAATGAGACCAATCCATCGTCTCTGTTTGCCAGATCCCATTGGCTCAAATCAACCCCGATATTTCTATTAAGGCACCTGGGACACGTGGGGTCCCCCAGGACCCAAGGTTGGGAACAAAACTCTCTGCAGACACTCAGTGAGGGGAAAGTTAAGACATGCTGGAATCAGGGGTCATGGATTTGGGACAAGAAAGAGATGGTATCATAGTCCTACCTACGACGTGTACTGGTTGTGGAACCTTCAGCAAGTGATTCCTGTCCTCAGCATTATCCACAATTTTAGGTACTGATACCTAACACATATAATTGCCATGGACATAAGGGGACATACCCCACCTTCTTTGTCCCCTCCCCCACTCTCCTACACACCCCAAGGAACATTCACCTGAGACCCAACAGATTGGCTGTTCTCCTCTCCTGTAACTATAACATGCGACATAAACGTGAGGCCCTAAGCACCTCAGGACTATTATCCACAAAACCTGGCCCTGACAAATCAAAATGCTTTTGACTGTTTGAGCCCAGGAGTTTGAGACCAGGCTGAGCAACAGAGGAAGACCTTGTATTTACAATATAAAAATACATAAAAATGAGGTTGGGTGTGGTGGCTCATGCCTGTAATTCCAGCACCTTGGGGTACCAACGCAGGCAGATCACTTGAGGTCAGGAGTTCGAGGCCAGCCTGGTCAACATGGTGAAACCCTGTCTCTACTAAATATACAAAAATTATGTATATTAGCCAGGTGTAGTTGGACATGCCTGTAATCCCAGCTACTCAGGAAGCTGAGGCAGGAGAATTGCTTGAATTCAGGAGGCAGAGGTTGTAGTGAGCCAAAATCGTGCCACTGCATTCCAGCCTGGGTGACAGAGTGAGACCTTGTCTCAAAAAAACAAAAATACATAAAATATAATTGGGCATGGTGGCACACACCTGTAATCCCAGCTACTTGGGAGGCTAAAGTGAGAGGATCGCTTGAGCCAAGGAGGTCAAGGCTGCAGTGAGCCATGATCACAGCACTGCACTCCAGTCCTGGTGACAGAGTGAGACCTTGTCTCCAAAAAAAAAACTTTAGAAAGTATTAGTTCCGCTCTATCAACATTCTCCTGAAGCACGGTAACAGGATGCCACAGCTCCTGAGCTTGAAGGAATTTGGCTGGCAGGGGGTCAGGGAGGGAGGATCATGTAAGAAAACGAGGGATGGAAACAAGGTTTGGTTAATATCTCAGGTTTGGGAGAACTGTGATAAAATATTCTGAGATGGTCAGAAAGCCCTCTCTGGGGGAGGTGGCATTGAGTAGAGCTGTGAATGGCCGTCTCATGTAGAAGAGCCCCGTCATTCTCTCCTCTTCACCTTCACATTACTCTGCTTTGTTTTTCTTCTTAGCACTCATTTCTCTGAGATACTGCAATATAGACTGATTTATGAATTCTCACCGCACCCCCAGTATTAGAATGGAAGCCCCATGAGGGAAAAGACATTGCCTTGCTCACTGCAGATTCCAGGTACCTAAACCAATTCCTGACACAAAGCAGTGGTTCAGTAAATATTTGTGAATAAGTAAATAAATGAATGGACCATGTGAACAGGACACTGACCAACTCTCTGGCTTGCACAAGGCTAAGAAGCAACTTAAAGCTGATGGTTAAATCAACCCGTATCTGCTCATCACCAAAAGGACACCTCTTGTGTCCAGTGTCTGGTGGGAAAAATTCAAATGCAAACGCAGAATCTGCCTGCAAACATAGCATTGTCTGTGATGTGGTCCTGTGGAGCCAATCAAAACTCCTGTTCAGATAGCTTTTTGCTGTATTCATTCTATAAAATTTCAGACCCAAGCCTGATTAAAAAAAAAAAAAAAAGCTTAAGAGATGTTGAAGAAGTCAACAAGATGTTGAATACCTCATGGAAGCGGTGAAATTGCTATGAGCCTATGAGCAGATGTTCAATCCGAGGATGGAAGCACATCTATTAAGAATGCCTTGGGGCTCAGTACGGTGGCTCACGCCTATAATCCCAGTGCTTTGGAGGCCAAAGTGGGTGGATTACCTGAGGTCGGGAGTTCAAGACCAGTCTGGCCAACATGGCGAAACCCTGTCTCTACTAAAAAGACAAAAATTAGCTGGGCATGATGGTGGTGCCTGTGATCCCAGCTACTCCAGAGGCTGAGGCAGGAGAATTGCTTGAACCTGGGAAGCAGAGGTTGCAGTGAGCCGAGATCATGCCGCTGTACTCCAACCTGGGTGACACAGTAAGACTCCGTCTCAAAGAAACACACACAAAAAAAGAGTGCCTTGGAAGGAACTCCAAAATGAAAATGAGTGAGAGGTCAGAAATTCGAATCTAAGGTTCCTTATGACTTTGACATGTCACAATCTGTGGTAGGCAGAATAATGGCCCCATCAAAATGTTCACACCCTAAGCTTGGTCCTAGGACTCTGTT